TTTCTATCCTCCATATAGCTGCCAAATTAATATTTCCAAAATCTAACCATGTTATTCATACACACACATACACACATCCCTTCATGTCTTCAAAAGATCTGTGATTTCATCATTGTAGGTATTCTACCTGCATATGGCAACCCCAAAACACCTTAGGAGATGGTTTTCATGAGTTGCTGTGGTCAAAACTATTTATTACTTGGTGGTGAACCTTTTGGTAATGACCCTCTGTGCACTTAATTAAATTGTCCCTCTGAGGAAGACAGGTCACTGAGCTCAAATCTGAAGCCTTTCCACTTTGAGAAGACCTGTCAGAACTTGTGTTCTGTTCTTGTGGCAGGACCTTTTGGGACTTGAGGACACTTTCATGCCTTTACAAAGTATGTGAGTAAGACTTGTGGAGGAATTCACAATTACCACTAATAAAATTTATAAATAACAAAATATATAATATATGATATAATATATAATATATTATAATAATTTAATAAACAAATAATTTATAAATAACATATCTTAATAATATATAACATAATGAATAAGAATTTCTTATTCCATTCTAGAAATATACATGCACACTCACACAAGGAAAATCATTGGCACAAGCCATTGGAAAATTATGGTAATTATTGTATATTTTAAATCGTTATAGGAATCTCTTTCTTCTTTTCTTGCTTCTTTCCTCCCTTCCTTCTTTCCTTTCTTTCTTTTCTCTTGACAGGGATGTTGCAATATGGGAGCTTCTTTTCTAAACTGGGTAGCTATACCTAGTTCCACTACTTCTTCTGGCCAAACAAGAATGTTCACCTGATTTGGCTTCTGCAGAACAAAACTCAATTATTGTTCTGATCTTTCAATTTCACCTCTCTTCTCCAGATATGTGAGTCATAAGGTTTCTTCTGGAGGTTAGGAAGGAAAGAAATACGGGAAACCCTGTGCAGAAATAACCATTATACAGTGCAAGTATTATGCAGCCTAAGTATTTTTATCCCAGGAGACATGAACAGCCAGAGATCTTACCATCTCCCTACACCAGAAGACACCAGGGTTGATCTCTCCCTAAGACCCTCACAAAAGGAAATTACAGGGTTGAGAAGGACAGTGTCTCTCTACCTACTGTCAGGAGTTGACAGAACAATAATCGCCTTTGCCTTTGGTATCATCTCAAGTTTGGGCTGTAGAACGGCAGAGATTTCCTAGACTTAATCACTTCTCTGCTACTTATGACTTCTGTGACCTTGGGTAAGTCTCTTCACATCTCATTTCATTTTCTTCATCTAGAAAATTAGAAGGTTGGACTAGACACCCTCTAAGATCCCTTCACTCTAAATCTGTGGTCATATTTACCCCCTTATGTTAAAACCTCTCAGAGCTAATCCATCAGTAAATATTTCTGAGAAAGATTCTACAGATAGAGAACAAATTGAGTCTAGCATTGAATCAGAGGGAGAGATTAGTCTGGCTTGCATTACTGTTTCCAACGACCCCAAGCTTCTCCTTGAAACAACATCTCATCTTCTTAACATCAATATTCTTTAGGTGATGCTATCCAGCCATAAATCGTAGAACATCACAATCTCTACGCCTCACACAAAGAGCAATAGACAGATATATGGTGGGTATAAATGGACTGTAGCATATTATCAAGGACAAATTGTGAGCACCAAACAGAATAAAAAACATCATCAGAAATTTATGATTGGAAAAGGAAATGGGCAGGTGATGTATCAGGGGAAAGCCCATGTGCTACACTCATACCCACATAGTGCTAATCAATCTATCAATCAATAAGCACTTACTTATATAGCACATTTCATGCCTGATGCTATGCTAGGGACTATGGATACAAAGATGAAAAATAAGTGTCTTATTTCTCAAGGAGTTTATCTTCTATCTGGAGAAATTTTGTGTGTGTGTGTGTGTGTGTGTGTGTGTGTGTGTGTGACTGATCAATGAGCCTAGTTCTTATAAGCACGAACAGCATGATCTGCTAATGCAAACTCCACATGACCTTCAGAGCATGTGCAGGTATTGTTTCTGGTCTTCTTACCCTTTGAAGATGTAGTGGCTTCTAAGGCTTTCAAGCGGCTGCTAAGCCAGAACTAAGAATGATTACGAAAGACATTAGCTGGACAATTTGGCCCCTCTTTCTTGCCTGGTTAATTTGAATGAAACCATGATATCCCTACCTGGCCATGAATACAAGTCTCTGCTGCTCTTAGGTGAAGGAGTATCAGAGTATCACAAGGCCAAGACCTTGTGAGCTTCGAAAAGTTGAGAAAGGAAGCTACCAGAGGGGGTGGGGGTGGGGTAGGGCTAGAGTCCATGTCAGATTGTGTGGACTCATGAACCTGGTGAAGAACAAAGTCCCAAGTTATCTGCTAGAGGGGGTGAACAGGCTGTGCCACATTTGGAAGTGAATTTTATAGGATGCATGCTCATTCTCTCCGGGAACAGACCCCTCAGGTCAGGCAGAATTGCTGAGTGGTCAGCCTCACTTAAATCCAATTCCAATGCAAGTCAAGACATCACCTGCTCCATGTGATTGGTCCCCTTTGAGAAGGAAGGACAAACAACAACAAAAGATTTCCTTAGCCATAGCAGAAGAAGGCTATTCAAGGACAGGTACTGAGGACACCTCTGAATGCAACTCCTTTGCCTGAGTTGCCCATTATGATCCATCAGGCAAGCTTTAGAGATGACACCTGGAACTCCTTATGGCTGTTTTGTACTCCGGTGAGCTGGAAGTGATGTCAGCAGACTGAGCCTTTAGTTGCCTGAGCCATCCTGGTATTGAGGATGGTCTCATACCTTTTAAAGAAAAACTAGCCTAATTTGCCTAAGGGAAGAGGGTAGCATATTGCTCTTATCATAGGCCCCATAACACTTTGTTATATTATACTTAGCTGTGTATAAATCATTTGGTTGGGAAATTGTAGTTCTTTTATTGACCCTCAAGCTTCTTAGTGAAACAAAGACTCATCTTTTTAACACTAATATTCTTCTGGTATTATTGTGTGGCTATTAGTTGAGACAAAATACTCCGAATACTATGAAGAATTGAAGTTGAGGATGAAGGGAAATGGAGAGGAATATAGTGGGAGTGTGGAAGAAATGCAAATCTGAGAAATGTCTGACCCCTAAAAAGACAGATGGGTTACCCAGCAAAAAGGATAATTTGTGGACAACCCATGTGTTTCATTGGTTTCCACTCAACTTAGACCTGGAAGCAGGTCCCCAGCACAAATGACTAGAAATCCACAATTAAAGAAGTAAAGGGAGAGACCACTAACCAAAACTAGCATTTACTAGTCAAGCACTATGTTACAGAATCTTCCAACAGGTGGAAGAGTCAGAGGAGTCCAGGGGGCGTAGTTAAGGGTAATTTTGGTGTTATGAGTGTATTTTAGCTCAAAGGCACCTCAGTGTATCTCAGAATAAAGAAAATTCAGGAGATGATCTTTTGGTTCAAATAGGAAAAGGTATCATCAAAGCAATGGGCAGCTAGGTAGCCCAGTGGATAGAGCCAGGTGCCCTAAGTCAGGAAGACTCATCTTCCTGAGTTCAGATCTGGCCTCTGACACCTACTAGCTGACCCTGGGCAGTTCACTCAACCCTAGTTGCTTCAGTTTCGTCACCTGTAAAATGAATTGGAGAAGGAAATGGCAAACCACTCCAGTATCTTTGCCAAGAAAACCCCAAATGGGCTAAGGATACAAAAATTGTCAAAGCATCCACACAACATAGCTAAAATTGGTACTAAGGGATAAGGGTTTCTTCTTGGCATCTATATCCTTTTAAAAAATTTCTTCAAGCTTTTCGGCCAAATTCAGAATTTCATAGTTCTGAGCCATTTCCTAGTATAGATTTAAGCAAAACGTTGTTCGGCAGTACCTAAGTGGTTAAAGATAGGCTGCAATTTGTATGAGAAAGGAATGCTTAGATTTTTGAGATCGCAGATCCGTACATAAAAGTCAAGTATTTATTCCCTATTCCTCTATATTTATCTCATATACCCCCATCCACCCACCATAAGCTTCTTGAGGGCAGGTTCTGTCATTAAAAATAAACAACTGTATCTCTAAAAAAAAAAACAAACAAACTTCTGAGTTCTAATTCTGCCTCAAGGCTTACTAGCTGTAGCTGTGTGACCCTGGGCAAGGGTATTTAACCTCTCAGCCTCAGTTTCCTCATTGCAAAATGGGAATAATAATATAAGCACACAGGGTGGTTGTGAGAATCAAAAGTTACAATATACGTATAGCACTTTGCAAACTTTACAATGCTATATAAAGTGCTAGTAATTAGTATCATTGTTATCAGCGGGGCAGAGCTTACAGAGTAGGTGTAGAATGCATGTAAAGTCCTGAATTCCCTTTTCCCGGTTCGTTCTCATCTGACTTTTTCTCACTACATTCGGAGGCTTGGACCTCAAGGGAACCCCAGTTTGTAGCTTCACTTTGTACACCGGCGAGCCAGCCCCGAGAACCAGGAGAGCCCAGATGACCCCCGGGCTGCCTGGAAGGAACAGGGGTCCGGTGGTCCTGGACCCCCGCCTTGTCTTCTGCGCAGGGCCCTGGCGGGCCATCGGGGTGGGCGTCTCGTCTGGGCGGTCGGTGAGGGGCGGGGGAGGGCCGAAAGGAGCCCCAGGCCGGGGACCGCGGCGGACGCCAGGTCGTTGACGTTACCTCCAGGCTTCGGCTGGGGGGCGACCCCAGCTCCCAGCACAGCCCCGCCCCAGGCCCCCACTCTCCCTCCTCCTCCCGGGCTCCGCCCGGAGGTGGAGCCGCCGGCCCCTCCCGGCGTAGCTCGGGGGGCACGAGGTGGCCCGATCGTCTCCGGGCTGGGGGAGGGGGGAAGAGGAGGGGAAGGGCTCTAACTTCCCTCTCGGCTTTTCAATTGGCCCGGCGTGCCCCCCTGGAAAGAGAGGGCGGGGAGGAGGAACTTCCCCATTGGTCGGCCTCCTCCGCCAATCCCTAAAGGCTTCGGGAAGAGGGGTGGGGGGGCAGTTTGCGGGGAGCCGCGGCGCGGGTGGTGTAGGGGAATCCGGTTCCCGGACTAGAACGTTCCTCGGACCGCCGTCTAGTCCAGCCTAGCCTAGCCCAGCCTAGCGCCAGGGCCCACGCCGGACCCTCGCCTCGCTCCCTTAGCACCGCTTTCCTAGCGCTGACTCCCGGGGCGCCACGCGGAGCATCCTAAGCAGCTGCTGCCGCTGCCGCCGTCGGGGGCCCAGCGAGGGAGGCAGGATCCACTGCCGTGGACGCTGACACGCGGAACCGGACTCGAGCCACAAACGCCATGACCCACTTCAACAAGGGCCCTTCGTACGGGCTCTCAGCCGAGGTCAAGAACAAGGTAAATGCGGCTGGCTCGGCCCAGGATAGGTCGGAGCAGGCTGCGTTCGTCCTCTCCTGGGGCTGGGCGGGGTGGGGTGGTCGCGGGCTGGGGGAGAGAGACCGACGGATGGACGGGCTGGGTCCCTCGGCGCCCCCCCCACGTAACCAACCCCCCGGTGGTCTCCTCCTCCTTCGGCTTTGTTCCCTGCGCAGCGGAGCCTCCGGCGGGACTCGAGGCATCTGATCGCTAGCCGGGAGCCTAACCGCCTTGCTTGCCTCCCCTTGTCAGGACGCACCCCCCCCTCCCCCGTCCCCGGGCCATTTACTTTGGCTTTGCATTAGCCGGATGGGGCGGGGGGCGTGGGGCGTCGAGAGCTAAGGAGAGCTCGCCTAGGACAGGGTCTGGCCAGCGCCGAGCTGGGGTGGACGCCCCTGCCGTCTCCTGGGTCGGCTGACTGCTGGCCGACCGACCACTTCTCTTCCCTCCCTCCCTCCTTCCTTCCTTCCTTCCTTCCTTCCTTCCTTCCTTCCTTCCACCCACCTCCTCATCCCCTCGGCGCACGGCGGTGGTGAATCTGGGCGGCTACGTGGCCAAATCCCAGGTCCCTTATTGTTCCCTCCCAGACTGAGGGAGGGAGGAGGGTGGGATGCTGCGCGCTTGGCTCGCTCGGCTCGGTTTGTTCCAGCCCCCGCGCAGCTCCTCTTTTCTTCAACCGCAGGGGCTGGGGGAGGTGGCTCTCCGGGACCTCTCCGCGATACAATAGCCAGAGTAGCTGGTCACGGCCGCTGTCCCCTCGGAGGAGTCGGGCGCCCGCTGGGAGGTGGATTTGGCTGCGGACTTGGGAACTTCTGTAACGCGCTGCCAAGTTTGCAGTCGCTTGTACTTTACTCTCCTGGCTAGCTTTTGTTGCTTTTCTTTTTTTTAAAGTGCCCTGTAATAATGGGCTTGGGTGTGGATTTGAGTGTTTGGGCTCTGTAGATAGCGCTTTTATCTTTCTTCTTCTGCTGCACCCGTTGGCGTGTTTTGCCATCTTTTGAGTTCTTTTGGTTGGGGGAAAAAGATGAGAGGAGTTTCCTCCCCCCCTTCCCTAAATCCCCTTCTTCCTTCCTCCCTCCCTGCATTCCAAGCACATTACATCAGGGGCTTCGGGTGGCGGGGGGGGGGGGGGGAAGAAACCGACCAATCGGAGCGGATCCGTGCACAGAATGCTCATTGTCTCTCCTTTTTTGCTGTTGCGGCCAAAAGAGCCACAAAGCTGGGCTGCTGTACTTCAATTTCTATTAACCTCCTGGAAACCGAAGCATTTCAGGATTGCCACTACATTCATCTGACTGCCTAGTGTTTTAAGGATAGCTTTATATTTAGACATTGCTACTGTCAAGCCTATACAACTAGCACTGGGGTGTAGTATTGAACTGGTGCTAATCATAGAGAGATATTGCCGTGTCCCAAGGGAGACTCTTGTCTGCTTGCTTTTCCTCCCCTCATCTCCCAAGCTACATAATAAGAAAATGCTTATCCTGACTCAATTTTTATTTGGTTTGATTTTCAACCATCTATATTTAAACTAACAGATATATGTATATGCGCACATTATATGCAATATATTACGATTGGGTGTGTGTATATATAAAATTTAACTTCAGAGACTGTAGCATATATGTTTAAAGAGGTTTTTTAATATAGTTTAAATATTTTAGTCGAAATAAGGCAAAGGAGATGAATGGTTTGGGTATAGAAGATTGTTAGAAACTAAATTGTAGGGGGTTGTAAATTTTGTAGCACTTATCCTTGTTGGGGGGAGGGGGCTTGAGAAGGCTACTGAAGAAATCATTCGATATTTTGGATTGCCATTTGTGATAGCAGGAAAAGCAACAATAAATGTGCACTTTAAAGGCTTTGAATTTTTTTTTCATTGTAGCTGGTTATGCTTTAGGACTTAGTGATTCTGTGACCTCATTGAGGTGGAACTTCTCCCTCTTGCTGATCTCATTTCGTGTTTACCTTGTCTTCTGATTCAGTTTTTGTCCATTTTCTTCCATGAGCCCTCCAGAGGATCCACTTTTGCTGGAGGCATTCCTCTGAATAGTTTTACTTTTCTCTAAGTACCAGAGCCGCACTCTGTGTGGCCATTTGTTATCATCCCTTCCTCTCCTCACCTTACCATCCTGCCTTCTTTTCAGATCTTCAGTTTTCTTAGTTTGGGAAGATTCATCTTAGGGAACAGGTGGAAGTCTCTTTGGCTTCAGTTGCCCTTTAAGTTACTCACAATGTGATTTTTCCAAGATTATGGTATTCTAAGGTTCAAAGCCATACGACATTCCTGGGAGAACATTTGTGTTTAAAAATAATTTTTTTAAAAAAATTATTGCACTGGGGAGTAGGTTGGGATTGTCTAAAACTCTTCACAATTTCAAAAGCAACCAGTCAGCTCATTTTAACATATCCTGGGCCAAGTGATTGACCCTCTGAAGTGCCCATCTCAGATGTTTGTGTTGCTGTATTAACTCCGAAGGCAGCTCTTATGTATGTCTTAGTCTGGACTAGAGGTGTCAGACATATGACCTCAATACTAAGTGCAGCTCAAACCAGATTAAAATGTAATTGGGAAGTATTTAACAAAATCAATAAAAATAGAATGGAACATAGATAAATTAATATATGGTTTTCTAACTCGACTTGAAGGCCTCAGGATCCTAAGCGGCCCCCTCTTTTTTTTTTGTTTGACACCATTGATCTAGACAATAGTAATTTTGTATCCATTGAGTTTTTCTAAATGGATTGTTTAAAGCCAATCTCTTGAGTATTCATGGTTGACTTTGAGGAGGTCCTGTGATTACTTGGTGGCAGTCACTACAATATCATCCACCAGTAGGAGCCCACGTTTCAGCAAAAAACGTTTAATACTTTCCATTTAGAAACAAGGAGGATTAGAAGTATTTATACATCCTTCAGTGTAATTAATATATATATATATATAATATTGAATATGTGGGTATATATTATATAATCTGTGAAATATATACATAATTGACTTCTCCAAGAACTGAGCTTCTGCACCTTTATTTGATAATGTGCATCATTTATTTTTAGGAAATAATTCCAACAAACTATTTTGGCATTTAAAAAAAAATCAGTGCTTTCCATTGTGTAGACTTGCTTTTGAAATGAGAACCCCTCCTTTCCCTCCCTCCATTCCTAGCCCCATTGTGTAGGTGTTAGATTTTGGAAAGGCACCTCAAATGTCTGTTTGCTTGGGGATGGGGGGGGCTGTAACGATTTTAAACATGCTTTGATACTTTTATGTCTTGACTCATGAATATGCCTGACATGTTCCTATAAATTAATAGCTACAGTTTTATGAATCTGGGGGTGATGACTGCTCTTGGCAGGCAGCAGTAATGGCTCTTAGTCTTTTGTATAGTTCTCTACATAAGAGGTACAAATAATTTTGGCAGTCCTTCAAATAGCTTATTTTTCTTGGCAGTGAATGACTGCTATACTTTGCAGAATAATGGGGTAGTTCCTGCCCTTTCCTAATTGGTCATTGAGTACATGAAAGTCGCCATTTAAAGAAGCTTTAAATACCAAGTGGTATATATAGTTTAATAATAGCTAAAATTAATGTAGGTACTATGTAAAGGTAAATGACATAGCATGTGCTATATCTCATTTGAACTTATGTGCTGCCTTGTGAAGTATGTTATTTTATGTCCACTTTGCAGATGAGGAAACTTGAGTTTAAAATAACTTCCTCAGGGTCATAAAACTAATTAGTGTCTAAAGCAGGACTTGAACTCAGATCTTCCTGACTTGGTCTAATTGCTCTATCTACTATGCAAGTGCTACTTCTTAATAAAATCCATAAAATAGGATTATAGAATATGAACATTGGAAGGGTCCTCAGGGTCCTCTAGTCCAGTCTGTACCTGGGTAGGATTTCTTTCTATAGCATGTCTGTCAAATAGTCCTCCACCTCTTACTTGTTGGACTGCTTTACTTGTTAGGAAATTTTCTTTGAAGCCTGAAGCTTGGCAACTGTTACTCATTGTCCCTAATAATGGGACCAAGCAGAAAAACCTCTTATCCCTCTTTCATGTGATAGGAGTCCAGATCTAAGGATTTTCCTTATTAGATTTTAGTGAAGCTCCTTCACAGCGTCCTTTGCTAGAAGGACATCAAGTGAAGGGAAACTCACAACTTCTCTCAAAGCAGCTCATTCCACTTTGGTTAACTCTGCGGTAGTTAAGAAGCTTAAATTTATCTGTTCACAACCTCTACCCATTGTTTCTAGTTCCCTAAATGCCAGGGATTCTCATAACTGTCACATCTACGCCAAGACTTCTTCTCCAGGCTAAAACTCCCTCATTTTCTTCAGCTCACATGTGGCATGATCCTTCCACTTTCTAGCAGTCTCCATACAATGGCTTCTGGCTTCTTGGGCTTTAGCCTCCTAGTGGGAAACTTTGGTGGGCTCTACCGTGCTGGAAAGGCTTTAGGTATGAGCCTGAGGGCCAGTCTAGCCAATTTGGGGAGGCTCATTACTAGGTTGGGTGCAAGGTGATTAATTTTTTGTACTCAGAAATTAATGAAGAGGATCTTTTAAATTGTAGAGGAATTGTGATCATTATGTGGGGTGGGGTAGTAGGAGGCTAACCTACACTAATGAAGTTACAGATCCTTAAAGTGTCGATATGATTACTTTTTGGTTAGAAAGTCTGAAATTTGAGGGAGCTTACTTTGAAAAGAGAGCATTGTGTCTGAGAGTTGAGTAGTGTTCACTCCCAAAGGCAACTAAGATGAGCAAAAGGGTTAGGGAGATGTCGGAAGGCAATTTAAAAACAATTGTGAATCCTCAGCCTTAAACAAGCCTGAATTCAGTAATTGAATTAAATAAGCATTTATTAATCACCTGCTGCATGCAAGGCTCTGTGCTAGCTGCTAGGAGTATAAAGATGCAAGCAAAATCCTCAGGGAGCTTAAGTTGTGGGGTATGAACCAAATCTCTAAAATACTAA